TTATTTTAATTAATTAATTTAAAATTTAATTTAAAATTAATTTAATTAAATATAATTTAAAATAATTTAATTTAATTTAAAATTTAATTTAATTTAATTTAATTTAAAATTAAATTAAATTAACTATAACTAATTAAATAAATTTAATTATTTAAATTAAATTAATTAATTAAATTTAATTAATTTGATTTAATTTAATTAATTTTTATTTTATTTTAATTAATTAATTTAAAATTAATTTAAAATTAATTTAATCGTTGAAATTAATTAAATTTTACTTAATTGAAATCAATCAGATTTTAAGTCATTGAAATTATTTAAATTTTAATGCATTAAAATTACTTATGTTTTAATTAAAATCAGTTAGATTTTACTTCATTGAAATTAATTAGACTTTAATTCAGTGAAATTAGTGAAATTTAAATTAATGGAAATGAAATAAATTTTATGAATGAAATAAAAATTAAATAAATCCATTGAAATTAATTAGATTTAAATTCATGAAAATCAATTAAATTTAAGTTCTTTAAAATCAATTAGATTTTACTTCACTGCCACTAATTAGATTTTAATTAATTGAGATTAATTGCCTTCCCTCACCATTTTTCCTGAGCTCTGGGGGTTGGCTCAGCTTCCAAATGTCCAAAATTCTGCCCAGCCCGAAACGCTGCAAACCCTGAAATAGAGAAAAATGGGATTAAAAATGAAATTAAGTGGAATAAAATAGAATAAAATGAAATAAAATTAAATGGAATGGAATATTGTGTAATGAAATAAATGAAATTAAATGGAATAAAATGGAATAAAATGGCATAAAATAGAATTAAATGAATTAAACTCAAATTAATGAAATAAAATGAAATTAAATAGAATGAAATAGAATAAAATGGAATAAAATGGAATAAAATGGAATTGAATAAATGAATTAAACTGAAATTAATGAAATAAAATGAAATAGAATAAAATTAAATGAAATAAAATGGAATTAAATAAATTAAATAAAATGAAATCGATTTCTCTCAGAAAAATGGGACAAATTGTCCTAAAAATGGGAGAAATTATCCCAAAAATGGGATGAGGCCTACTCAGGTTGGAGAGTAACAGCTCCAAATAACAGCCCTGAGAGCAAAAAATTCCTGGTTTTTCCTGAAAATTCCTGCTTTTTCCTGGAATATTCATTTCAATCCTTGGAGAGACACTTTTTCCATCCCTCTTTCCCTGCCTCATCCCTCAGAAAAATGGCATAAATTATCCTAAAAATGGGAGAAATTATCGTCAAAACAGGAATGAGGCCTGCACAGGCTGGGGAAGAACGGCATCCCTGAGAGCAAAAAATTCCTGTTTTTTCCTGAAAATTCCTGCTTTTTCCTGGAATATTCATTTCAATCCTTGGAGAGACTTGGTCTATCCCTTTTACCCTGCCTTATCCCTCAGAAAAATGGCAGAAATTATCCTTAAAATGGGAGAAATTGTCCCAAAAATGGGATGAGGCCTGCACGGGCTGGGGAAGAACGGCATCCCTGAGAGCAAAAAATTCCTGTTTTTTCCTGGAATATTCATTGAAATCCATGGAATTTGACTGGGAAGCCCCTCTGGGCGCTTCCCCTCACCCCAATAATGTGGATTTTGGCTGGGGGGTCTCTCCCAGAGAATTCCACGGCGTCCTCGAACACGTTCCAGTTGCTGCGGGACAGCAGCGCCACCGACCCGGCCCAGCTTCCCCTCACGTCTCCTGCCAGAGAAATTCCCAGTTATCCACAGGAATTCCCACTTATCCAAAGCCATTCCTGCCAGGAATTCCCAGTTATCCACAGCCATTCCTGCCAGGAATTCCCAGATCAGATCCAGTTATCCACAGCCATTCCTGCCAGGAATTCCCAGTTGAATTCCTGGATATCCACAGCCATTCGTGCCAGGAATTCCCAGTTATCCACAACCATTCCCACTATAATATTATATATATTATTTATAATTCCAAAACATAAATATTATAGAATAATTCGATTATTTTATTAAATATTTTAAATACTAATATTATTAATTACAACTAATTATAAATATTAATATTAATAATATTTAAGATATAATATATTACTGTAGGTTATATATAATCATACAATATATTATTATATATAACAATTAATGATATTAAAACAATTACATATAATTAATAATTAATACATATTTATTAATATAGCTATCAATATACTCAATTATTTATAATTAATTACATAAAAATTTAATATTTTATATTAATCATATAACAATTATTATACACAATAATATATTACATATAATAACATACAATTAATATATTAAGTTATTTATATAATTATATGCTATAAGTTATAATATATTCGTTACAATTTAATTATATCTATAATGATAAATTATTCCAAATTTATTAAACTTAAATTATTTATTAATAGAAATATAATTAGTTCTATTAAGTATTTTTTAAAATGTTAACTAATTAAAAATGAATATATAATTAGAATTAATTCTATATATTATATATAATATATAGAGATATCATTATAATTAATAATTATATTTTAATATATAATTATATTTTAATATAATTATATATTATTATATAATTATTTAATATAATTTATTTTATTATATAATTTTAATTAATATATCATTATGTATTATATGAATTATATTTCATAATTTAGTTTTAATTACTGATAATGAATTATTATTATAATTAATTACAACTACAATTAATTATAATTAACTAACAAATTACTCCAGACTTCTATCCCACAATTATCCGGGAATTTTCCCTCATTCCCAATCCCATCTCACCCTTTTGGGTCCCTCCCAGCAGGGTTTTCCCGCGGATCCCTTTGCACAAATCCAGGATCGTGGATCCCACGTAGGCGATTTCGGGCCCAAAGCGGAAACTCTGCACGGAAAAATCCCGGGATCAGCACCAAAACAAGAGGGAATTGTTGGAATCCATCCAAAGATGGCTCCACATGGAATTACTGCATTCCCAGCAATCTTCTGGAGAATTTTTCCATAAAAAACCACTAAATCCATCCAAAATATTCCTAGAAATCCCAATAATTCTTAAATCCAAATGATGTGATTCCCACCAAGCTCCTGGACTGCTTCTCCTGGAAAAGGCACCAAAATTCCCAAAATATTCCTGAAAATCCTGAATGGGCAGGGACACCTCCCACCATCCCAGGCCTTGGACATTCCCGGGATTTGGGGCAGCCACAGCTGCTCTGGGAATTCCCAAATCCCACCCCAATCTCCCCTTTTCCAATCTGGAGCCATTCCCTGTGTCGTGCCCCTCCAGGCCTTCCCCAAATTCCAGCTCTCCCAGAGCCCCTCCAGGCCCTGGAATGTGCTGGAAGCTCTCCCTGGAGCCTTCCCTTCTCCAGGAGAACATTCCCAGCTCTCCCATCATCTCCATCCCATCACATCCCACAGCCACCTCCAACATCCCAGATATTCCCCTCAAAAAAAACCCAACCAAACCAAAAACCCAGGGAATCTCCCCACAACGCCACCTCTATCCCAGATCCCAAATTTTCCACAGATTTGGGATTTTTCCATGGGAATTGTGCCCTTGCCTGGGTCAGGTAGAACACGTGGCTGTGGGGCAGCAAGTAGAGGGTGTTGACGGCCCCTCGGAATGTGTAGATCTGTTGGTGAGGGTCTCCCACCAGGATTTTCCCACATTTTTGGGATTGTACGATATCCACGATGGCTGTGGGAATTAAAAAATTAAAAATCTGGATGGTGAACCCGCTCCAAATCCAAGGGAAAACTTTGGATATTGAGGGAAGAACCCGCTCCGAACGCAAATCGGTTCACAAGTTAAACCCGAGGGGAAAATTGGGTTGAAATTCCAAATATTTGGGTTAAGATATTCCCAAAGCGTTCCCATGAATGTGGAAATTCCTTCTGGAAGTGGGATTGGAGCTGGAATTCTTGGAATAATTCACCTGGTGTGCAATCCTGAGCTTCATCCACAAAAATGGCGTCGTATCCTGAGAGCTGGGGTTTGCTGAGCTGCCAGAGTTTCAAATATCCTGAGGGGAAAAAAATCGGGAATTTCACGGAGAGGGGAATTCTCTCAGCATAGATCACTTTAAAATAAATCTTAAAAATAAATCTTTAAAATAAATCCCTTTTTTCCCTTTTTTTTTTTGGGGGGTTGTTTGCTAAGATTTCACTTGGAATTTCCAGGATGTTTGGAAGAGTTTCCGTTCCCCAGCTGGAATTTGGTGATTCCCAATTTTTTATTGCCCGGTAAAAATTCCAAGGAAAAGTTTTCTCCGGCACAATCCAGAGGAAAGGACGTGCAGGGAGAAACTTGTAATATTTTTTGGATTTTTTTAGATGTTTAAAATAAAAAAAAAAAGGGAATATCCTTCAAATCCACACGTTTTTATCCCAGTGGGAGCACAAATAAATTTTATGGATTTTATAGGTGAAAAAATTGAGCCAGAGGGACATTCCCTGCTGAGCCAGCAGCAGGAAAAATGGGATTTTCCCTTTTTTAAGCAGGAATAAGAAATCCATTGATTTTTCCAGCACCAAATCCATTTTTCCTGAGGGATTTTCCATCTCTTTTACCATCACAAGTCATCTTGTATTTCTTTTCCACATCTCCATCCAGGTCCTTCATGTTGTGCCAAATCTCCCTGGCCTCCTCCAAGTTGATCTGAAATGGGGAATAAAATAAAATAAAATACAATAAAATACAATAAAATACAATACAATACAATACAATACAATACAATACAATAAAATAAAATAAAATAAAATAAAATAAAATAAAATAA